GATTGGGCTAGAGTTCACGAGTGTTTAGAACTCTTGTCCGCCTCTTCTTTCCTGTCTGTAACCGCAACTCAAGCAAGTTTTCCAGCCTACGCCACGACCATCTTTGGTGTAAGTAAACAATCTTTAAAACTACCGCTAAGCATTTGTGCCTAATTTCAGCTCGTCGCCCTCCCTCTCCGATCCAGCGTGCCCGGGCTGCTGGCCACAGCCCGCGTGCAGCACGGAAAAGGGCTCGGGTCGCTCCCGGCCCGCACACCCCTCACTGTTCCTGGGCCCTTCTTGCTGCAGCTGCCCAAAGCCTGCATCCAGGCTGCCCTGCAGCTCCTCTCTGCTGCCGTCACCACCACCTCCAGGCCGCCTAGCAGAGCAGCAGTGGCAGTGCAGAGGAGCTGCAGGGCAGCCCAGGCATGGGCTTTGGGTGGCTACAGTAAGAAGAGCTGGGCAGTGGTGAGGGGGAGAGGCCACTTTTCCTCTGCACTGAGCAGCAGTTTCTGCCTGGTCACTGCTGCTGCTCAGCATGGGCAGGTGAGTCGAGAGCAGGTGTGAGGCAGGCTGGGGTTGGGGCTGTTCACACTGGTTCCAGCTGGTCTGCTCTGGCCGGAGTAAGTCAGGACCGGAGTATGTCCTGAGTAAGTCAGGACTGTTGGTGCTGCCAGGGAGGAGCTGGGGGGCGCACAGGCTCTAGGCTGTTGGGTGGCAGGGGAGGGAGGTGCTGACCATTGTTTAACTGTGCAATTAAAATTACGATTAATTGCAACTGTTTTTTTAATCTCACTTTTTTAATGATTTGTCAGCCTTACTTTTTTTAATGAACTTATTGTCTCTCCTCCTCCCCACCTCCCCCCCACATTTTAAAGTTAGGCCTTTCTAAAAGGAACGGTGGCCCTTATGTGTATGCTTCTATAAAGCAATATAATCGTTCCAGTTGGGAAGAATGTGTAACAGCTTCTGCAGACTCTCCATCTGCCTTAGTTAACGATGGACAAAAATAGCTGTGAATTATTCTTATGCTAGAAGGCATTTGGACCTTCTCCAAGCTATTATCAAAAAAATTCCATGTACATTTGAACTGATCCTGAATAACTAATCTAATAAAACTCACTGATGATATCAATTTAAAAGGTTTTTATTGAAAGAAAAATAAAAAAGTAATTTATAGAATAATCAGAGTGCTCAACAAGGCCGCAGGTCTTTTTAAAGCTGTTAGTCTGTGTGCTTATTTGAATTCCAATCTGTCACTGCTGCTTGGGTTTGACTGTTTGAAATTTCTAGCTAAAACATGGATTTTTATTGTGCTGTTTTGATAGGAAACTGACAACATCTGTGGTAGCTATTTCCTCCCCACCCCTTTTACAAACTTGTCCTTAGGAACTATCAATCTATAAAAGACCACTCAGGTCATCTAGTCTGAAAAGCTGTACAACTCAGGTGATAGTCATCAGTTGGTGAAATTCTCTATTGAGCCAAACGTTTCTGTTTGAGCTGGAATGTATCTTTTTATATCTTTCAGAAGACTTACAATCTTGACACAGACTTGTCAAGATGGAGATACTCCATTGTTTGGTGTTTAACTGTCCTTCTTAAAATTCTGCCCCTTCTTGCCCGCATGCATCTTGCTTCAGCCTTTACCTGTTGATTCTTCTCATGCCTTTATCTACTTCCTTAAAGAGCCCTCCATCAGGAATCTTCTTCCTGTGTAGGTATTCATATAACTGAGTGAACGACTTTTAACTTAGCTTTGATAAGCCAAATACACAGTTCGCTTAGTCTCTAGCTGTAAAGCAGGTTTTCCAGCCCTTTCACAGTAATGTAACTAGGGGGTTAGGGCAAGTGGGGCACCAGGTCCAGATACCAACTTAGAGGGCACAGAGGATGCATGGGGGGGCATGTGCTCCCTCAGATTTCTGTGCTGACAGTGGGGCCCAGAGCATGGGACTGCAGTCTGGCCAGAGCCAGCACCAGCAGCAGCAGATGTCAGTGGTGACAGCAAAACTTGTGCCCCTCCACCTCATTGTCAACACTTACATGTCATCTATGTTAGAGGGGGTAGCAATACAGTCCCTTTCCTTAGAAGTCTTTGCCAGGGCAGGTGCAGGGCAGAAACCAGCCCCACAGGAGCTAAGCAGACATAAATCCCACACCCCACAGTGTAGCTGGGGGACAGGGTGGAATGGTGTCACTCCCCCAGGAAGGATTTGCCATGGTAGGCACAGACCTGCATCCAAGAGTATGGGGTGAGAATAGGGCAGGGGTCAGCAACCCACAGCACACGAGGCCATTTTGCTTGGCATGCCACTGCCAGCCTGGGCTCTAGGCAGCTGCTGCCAGCCGCAAAGCCTGGGCTGCTCCCAGCAGGTGGCTGGGCAGCTGCAAGCCCTGCCGTGGTTGGCAGCAGCTACCCAGAACCTAGGTCGGCTGCAGTCGGGTTGGCTACAAACATCTGCTCCAGGCTCTGGCATTAGCGCCATACTACGGGTGTACATGCGACTTGGAGCGGACTTTGTCCGGTGGCCCAGGAGCCCAGCTCTGTGCCTACACATCTGGTTCTGTGTGTTTGTCTGCCTCTGTCTGGTCCTGTGTGTGCACACGTGTCTGGTTCTGGATGTGTGTGTATGTGTCTGTTATGGGTGTGCTCTGGTTCTCTGTGCTTGTGCATGTGTGTCTGGTTCTCTCTCTGCTCTCCTTTCTCTCTCCTCTTCTCTTATTTGTCTCTCTTTTTCTCTCTCATTGCAACATGCTCAACAAAAAAGGTATACACAACAACAAAGGCAACATTTATGATTATTAAATATACTAATCTGCAGTGCGTTCTGCCATGTATACCCCCCTCTCCAACCCCTGCCCGCCCTCATTTTGTTTTTCTGGCATGCCGGCACTCCAGCACCTTCCAAGGTAGATATTGTGGGGTTTTTGCCACTCTGGCCAAAAAACATTGCCTACCCTGGGACAGGGCATAAGGAAGTCCCCCCCCACCCCCCAACTCCCTCTCTGGGAGCCTGTGCCACTGCCTATTTCTCAGCTGCAGCAGCCTGAGCCTATGCTGGTACAGGAGTAGCTGCAGCAGTAGCAGCTGCCTCCCAAGGCAGGTAAGACTCCCCCTCCCAGCTCTCCATTGGTCAACATAATTCCCACCCCCACCATGCCCCAGGGCCTGAAAGAGATTGTTACAGCTTTGCCTTCGGCTGTTCTTGTAGCTCTTCTCTGAACCCTTTTCTGTTTATTAATAATATTTTTTAAACAAGAACATCAAAACTAGACATAGTATTCCAATAATGATGTCTATAATGTTGTATGCAGTAATCTTAACACTTTTCTACCTCTATGCAATATGTTTATGCAGTCAAGGATTGCATTTGCTCTTTTAGCCACTGCTGTCCACTTAAAATAATCACAGTTGAGTAAGGGGAAAATATTTACATATTTTAATTCAATCCAAATTTTGATTTACAATTAAGTTTGCCTTGTGCCTATATTCAAGCTTTGTTAGAGTAATTACAAAAAAAAATCAGTTATCATGAGTTTCAGTGTTATGTTTACAGCCTTCCAATATGGTAGTGAAAAATTTACCAGCCCAGCACTAAATCTACTCACCTCCTTTTTTTTATCATGATGATTTTCAATTAGGAAAAAAATGAGGGACAAGGGATACAAATGACACCCTTTCTATGCCCTGCAAGACTCAGTAAGTTATTTTTCTTTATTTCCAGTGTCCATTTCTTTATCCCATTTTTCTCTTTCAGGTCTACCCATTGCCTTCATCTCAATAATCCATCTAGATTATGTTCCTTTATAACAATGTATTCTTGAGACATAAATACTGATCCCTAATGTTAAGGATAAATGGGGCAATCTGAAGGTCTAAGAATTGTTATAGTCTCAATTTGGCTTGTTTATTAGGGAGCTAGAATATTATAGCTGATCTGCAGTTGCATATCTCCTCTTCTGCTAAAAATGTTTATAGTCCTTAATTATGGTGTTCCCATTTAAATAGTATGTTTACTTGGAAATGTAATATTTACAGAATGCTTGTGAAACCTTTGTATGCTTCATTAGAATTTCCTGGTCATAGTGACCAGAGCTAAAAGGACGCATTACACACACTGCAACTTTGCCAAGAATAAAACACTGTTTCTCTGAATTAAAAAAAGCAAGCTTTTTTGTGGGAATAAATGTGTGTACAGCTTGTGGGCAGTTGCAATTATTTGTCTGTAACAGAGTTGCCTCTTTTTGTGATTTTTATTGAGAGTGTGATAATATTTGATGTTCTTTTTACACGTCCTCCAGGTACTGCAATTGGGTTATTACCTGGGAATCTTATCTTTCCTTTAAAATGAAAATTTTTAGCTCTCATAGATGATAAGAAAGGCCATGAATCCTAAAATCTCAAACTTGTCAGAAGAACTTACTATTTTTTAATAGCATGATTTTTAAGCAACACTTAAGATTTCAGGGAACCTGACTCAGGATTTTTATACGCCTAGGATTAGTATTACTGACACTATTGGCCTGATTTTTTTTTCTATTTCTGGCCCAAATGCTGAGGTTTTATGGTTCCCATTGCAATCAGGTGCATTTGCTCCTCACAAATTGTGAAAATGAAGTCCCAAGGGCTTCCTAGTATAAGTGTGTGTGAGTGTATATATAAATAATAGCATTTCATTAGAGGTGCTATAATGTCACTTTCAAGTAATTAGTTTCATTTCAAATACTGGGGGTTTTTTGGTGCAAAAGTTCCTATTTTATGCTCAGATTGACAGTGGTTTTTAGGAAATTCTGGTAAATTGACAATAACATTTTCCAAAAAAAAAGTACTGAGGCAGCAGTTATTACATTTTTGTTAACTGAGTTGCTATCAGTTAGGCAACATTTTGTGTCTAATGCCAGGTCAGAATAACCAGGGCGAAGTCATCCTAATCTGTGGTAGAACCAAATGCCAGGAAGCAACTACGAATACATCTGGCAACATGAAGTAATGGATTGTATTTCTTTTAATTTGTTTAATTGGCCTCAGGGAAAGTTAATGGCATGTTAAAATGTGCTATTTAAGAAAGTTACCATGATCCTTGCAAGCAATCTGCCTGCAATTACCTTTACTCAATACAAAAAATCAGTACGGTTGCAAAAAGAGAGGTGTTTGCATTAACTGATAAAAATTTGAAAATTCAGCGAAATACAGCCCAACAGTAATCACGTGTTCCTGATCGCACTTCTATAAAAGTCTAGAAGGCCCAGGAGAATTTCATTCACCTTCACTATGAGGGGAATCACATTAGCACTAGTACTCACCCTAGTGGGTAAGTTTACTTTTCCCTTTTCCGTTAACCTTTCCTGACTTTTTATAAGTGAATCAACAATTGAATTTAAAGTACATTTCTATTAGTCATGTGTCCATTTGATTTCTTTTTACAGGGTGCCAGAAATATGACATTGGTAAGTCTATATTTTGTTTAATAAATTTCATCTTGTGCCTTTTTGGCAGTGATTATTAAATAGAACGTCTTCAGAACTGTCAGTGAAAACTTATGTTTGTCTTGCTTCCCACAGACCCCAACTTTAGTAAAAGCAAAACCTGTGTGTACAACTATGAAGGCCTTATTATGCATGGACTGCAAGAAAGAGGTTTGGCAAAGGCTGGGCTACGAATAACCAGCAAACTAGAGATTAGTTCATTATCAGATAATACTTACCTCCTCAAGGTATGCACCTATTTTCAAGAACAGCATTGGCTAGCAAATTAGGCTTAAGTAGCTGTACTTTGTTTTAGGCAGCTGCAGGAAAATATCAGTGCAGACTTTTTAAAGAGCTTTGTAGATTTAGAGGATTACTTGAGTTACAGGGAAAGTTTTCCAGAGTGACTTGTCTTTTTCAGGGTACCTTGATGTTTTGGATGCTGAGCTTGAAACTCCTCACTAGTCTGCGATATTGAGAGAGTAGATGCCTGCCACCCCCAAAAAAGGACAACAAAAATTAGTCATTTTTAGCATATTGGCTTACAACACAAGGGGCATGATCCTACTCTTTGGGATTTTGATCCTGCAGTTATCCAAGATCCAAATGCCTACAGATGCCACTAGAAGCAAGACCTAAATCTAAATATAATAATCAAAATGAAGATCAGTATCATAGTTAACTTACAGTTAAATGGCTAACATAGGAGCTGTCCATGTAGAGCTTACTTTGCAGGTTTGAAAAAAATGAAAATACCAAAAAGCAATATCTAAATTGATTCAATATTTGTGCAAATCAATAGCGTATCTGTAGAGAGAGAAGTGAAACCTTGCCCCACTGAAGTCAATAATAAAATTCCCATCAACAGAATTTAACCCTTAATAAATTAATTCATTAATGCATTTTAAGGGAGGGTTTACAGAAGTGCTGACTGTGCAGTAGCCTGATACTACTGCACAGTAGCATCATGTGGCGAAAACTGCCAAGATGCTACTGTGCAGTGGTATTAGGCTATTGCGTCACTTAAAATACATTTGCCGGCACTACTGCGCAGTAATTCCAGTTACTGTGCATTTATTTAGTACTTGCTTATACAATGCACAGTATTTGCTTATACAAGTACTAAATAAATGCACAGTAACCACTGTGCAGTAGTGTCTGATGTAGACATGCCCAAGGTAAACTTGAATAATTCATAAAATTTGGTGAAGTTTAACAAGACTGTTTTGGCCATTTTTTTAATGTTGGAAAAGTTGAAAAATTTCAACGTTTTCCTCAGAACCAACATTCCGATTCAAAATTTAGCTCCAGTTAATCTTAATTAATTCTCAGTTATTTTATTGATTAATATTATTTATGTTGGCTTTATTATTTTACTAATTAGGTGATAATTATTAATTGTTTCAATTGACCTGAAGCAGTATTTTTTTTTTGGTTTTTCATTTTGGTTGGCATACTGCAAAATGATACAGTTCTAGCAGAGAGGGAGTCTAATCCATTTAATTCATAGTTTCAATATACTTAACTATTTATTTTCATATTATCACTTATTTATTTACAAACTGAAATTAATGCTGTATTCTATAACTTTATCCTTAGCTTTTAGACACAGGGAGTATAATTTTCATAACCCCTGAAAATGCTGGGTAGGAAGTATTGGAAGGAAAATGTTCAATTATTTTCTGGGTTTTTTTTAAATTCTCAGCTCTATTTATTCAATGCTCAGGCAAAGGTCATGTTCCTGTTGGGAACTCAGCAGGAGCATTACTGTACTTAGGAAAGTGTTGATGAAATATTGTCCTAAAATTATTTTCCTTTGTATAGTGCAATTATACACGATGTAAAAATAAAAATCTACCCTAGCTTTTATTTCAAATTCAGGTTTAAATATGATGTAAATAAGTTAAGAAATATTTTTAAGAGGTAATACAAATGTTCTTAGCTGTCCTCTTATGATAGAATATACTCTGTGAGCTTGATTCAAGGGATTTGTACTGGTCTTACATCAGTGCAAGAGAAAAAGAAGGAAATTAGGTTCTGTAAGTATATCTCCATCTAAGCCTATGTTCAGAATAGACTGTATGTACCTATGTTACTTGTTTTCCTGGTTACATTATATGTACCACACATCCTTTAACAACTATTTTTATTCCCAGAATTGGGACAAATGTGTGTTTATAAATTTTGTTTACAGGTCCGATCGCCACAGCTGGAGGAATACAATGGAATCTGGCCGAGAGATCCATTCACTCGATCTTCCAAACTCACCCAGATGATCGCTTTATGTTTGAGCCGGCCCTTTAAATTTGAATACTATAGTGGACGGATTGGCAATGTTTATGCCCCAGAAGATTGCCCTGTCTTGTGTATTAACATAGTGAGAGGGATTCTGAACATGATGTATATTACCATCAAGAAGTCACAAAATGTGTATGACTTACAAGAGGTTTGTTTCTTTGCCAGTTTGTTTCAAGAAGCTAACACAATTTTGTTTGAAATGTTTTTTATTCAGTTATAACAAGGGTGACCAACATGAGGCACGAGTGCCACAAGTGGTCCAGGCAGCCTCTATTTGTGGTGCATGGCAGACTGGGGAGCGGTCAGGTGCATGGTATCAGATACAGCACGGTGCAAAAAGCAAAGCAGAAGATGGGTCGGGGAAGGAGATTGGAATAGCACAAATAGTACAGGACTGATTTGTGGCACTTCTGCCTGCCCCCCCCCCCCCCCCGATTTGGAATCTTGTTTCATATATCAGTCAACAAGCACAGACAGTCAGTCACATTTATTTGCATGAAACAAATAAGCCAGGTATGAAAATTAGTGTTTTTACTAGATATCCCAATAAATTATCTTTATCATTTATTGCGTCTTATATAATTATCAGATCTAGAGATGTGTTTATTGCTCATGATCCTCAATTAGCTTTATTTGATTTAATCTATTAGTGTTCATTGGACTGACAGTGTTGATTAGCTTATTACTTTCTAACCTGCAGCTCTTACTCATTTGAGTTTTCCTAGTTATTTTAGTGGGATCAGTCAGGTGAATAACGCAAGCAAAATTTAACAGCCCCTCAAGAAATGGCTTTTTTTATATTCTTAGTAATTTTACTTTTCATTTAGATTTTTATTTTAGTGGAAATCTCTTATTCTCATTCAAAGGAGACTTGTTATGAGTAAGAAGCCTAATTATTCTCTATCATCTCTGTAGGCTGGAATTGAAGGCATCTGCCACACAAGGTATGTCATCCAGGAAGACAGGAAGAATAACAGAGTCTCTATTACTAAAACCAAAGACCTAAGCAATTGCCAGGATAAAGTGATGAAGAACATTGGGATGTCTTACATCCGTCCTTTTCCTTCTTTTCCAATGGTATGCATACTATGTATAGGTTTTCTATGGAAATAGGTAAAATATTTTATTCCCATTCACTAGATGAGTCTCTTTAAATTTATAGAAAGAAAAGATCGTAAAAGGAACTGCTGCATTCACCTACAAATTGAAATATGCAGAACGTGGTGCCCTGATCACAGAAGCTATGTCCCAGCAGGTGTATCAGATCTCCCCATTCAATGAACCTGCTGGTGTTGCTGTTACGGAAGTAAGGTAGGCCTGAGCAGCTAAAAAGAAAATTTAAGGCCACTCAGTTCAATCCTTCCTGCAGCTTAAATAAATGGAAGTTAACTTCAATGGCAGCTGGGTAAAGTTGCAGATGTTCATAATATGGGGGGAAGAAGTTCCCTAAAAAGTTTTGGGAATGTTGGGCTAATAACTATTTTGTTATATTAAAATTGAACTTTGCATTGTATTTTAAATGAGAAGGAAGGAGAATAAACAGTTGTTTCTTAAACCCCTCAGAATGTAACATTTCAAAAGTGATTCCACTGGGTACTACTTTATAGCAGTGACATGGGGAGTCAAAGTAAATGTGATACATCCACATATATTATCTGGTAAAAGAAATAAAACAATTTTGCACAACATATTAGGATCACAGTGGTCAACTAGTTCAGTCCTTTGTAAAATTCAGGGTGTGCTTCTCCTAAGTCATTCCTTACAGATACTTCTCCAAGGTTTCCTTGAAAGCCTCCAAAGAAGGAGATTCCACAGCTTCTGTGGGCACCTTGTTCCATTCTTCTACTGTTCTTACAATAAGGATTTTTTTTCTGCAATTTAATTTAAATCTGCTTTTTCTCAGTTTAAACCTACTGCTTTGTGTCTTGCTCTCTGTGGCTACTGTTGTTCCCCTTTTATGGCAGTGCTGGAAACTGCCATTGTGTTCTCCCTTATTTTCCTTTTCTCCCAACAACAAACACCCAGTTCTCTCAACCTTTCCTACTCGGGCTTATATTCCAGTCCTCATCATCTTTGCTGTTTACCTTTCAATCCTCAATCCTTTAGTTTCTACAACCTTCATCAAATTTGGGGCCCAGAACTGTGCACACATAATTCAACTGAAACCTAGCTACCAACAAGCTAGAGTGGCAATCATAGGTTCAGTTTTTCTTGCCTTCAGGAATAACAGTTCAGTATTTATTTCATTGTAGATAACCATTATCCTTTCATGATATTATGTCCCATTGATAAGGCCTTTACTTTAACAAAATTTCCTTGCTGCACCAGGAAAAAAAGATAAGATGTTAAAACAGTATCACTGTACAAATCGAAGCAGATGGATGCAGTTGCACAGTTTATTTCTTAGATGTACACACCAATTTCTCTTTATTTCATTTTAGACAAGAACTGAGCTTAATTGAAGTGAGAAGTGAACAAGTGAGCCCCCCTGAAGTTCAGCTGCAAAATAGTGGAAGCCTTCGTTATGATTTCCCACCAGTACTACCACAGATGCCAATTCAACTAATTAAGATGAGAAACCCTGAGCAACGGGTATAGAAGTCTTAACTTTTATTTTACTAATAATAAAGCTAAGAAAAGATCAGAATATTTTTATGCGCTCTAAGTAAATGAACATAGTACATTCTCTCTGTCTTCTGGTTTGTCACAGATAGTGGAAACTTTGCAACATATAGTCCAGTACAACCAGGAGGACTTCCACTCAGATGTCGCATACAGGTTTTTAGAGCTCATCCAGCTGTCTCAGGTAGCAACTGTGGATAACTTTGACTCTCTTTGGAAGCAATTTTCAGACAGACCTCGCTACAGGTAATTGGTTGACTTTGTCATGCCCAATCACCATTTTTTGTTCAAGGAGCACTAAAAGCTCATTTTAAGGATATTTTGCAGGCGATGGTTGCTGAGTGCAATTTCTGCAGCAGGCACTGTGGATACAGTGAAGTTCATTAAAGCAAGACTTCGCAGTGATGACCTTAACTACATTGAGACACTTCTGACTGTTTCTGTTACCCTCCATTTAATAAAAGCTGATGAGCATATAATGCCCGTAGCAGCAGTAAGTACAATTTATGAGAGATTTTCTGAGCAAAAACTGATGATGACTGAGGACAGCTAGTGTTCATAGAATATGTTACAGATTAGGTTCTCTTCTCACACTGGTATTTTGTATCAGGATAACTCTATTAATACCCATAGCTACTACCTGTGTAAGAGGAGGAATGGAAAAGACATATTTGTTCTGCAGACTTTAAAAACCTGAGTTTCATTTTCTCAGATCACACATTTTTTTTTTTCTTTTGCCAGCAAGTCAAAGTTCACTTTTATCTGTTAATTCTAAACAGTAATGGTGATGGACATGTCACATTATTTTAATAGCTTTTTAAGCATTACAATTTCCAATACAGAGTAATTACATAACATTCCTAGACCTAGGACTATTATGATAGAATTGCAGGTAAAAATACTATCTAGTTGGAAGCATCAAGATTTTTACTGCACTGTTAGTACAAATATTTATTTAAAGAAATCTAGCAGGATTTCTTATGTCAATATTCCTATTTTGAATATGACACAGCATGTGAAGTCAAAATGACTCACTAATACAATGAACAACTGCAGGCTCCTCCAGCTAAATTAATCTCTAGATCGGCTTCTGTTTGTAACTCTTTCATTTGTTAGGTCAGATTCTTAGCTGATAGGAATCATCATAGTGCTATTTAAGTGAGATCCGATTCAAGTTTGTGTATTAAATGTTTCCTGGCTTGATTTATTTGATTGAGAAGGAATGATGATCATTCTTAAAACACTTCCCTAGGAGAATCTCAATAATTGTCCTGGTCTGACTGGCAATATGAATGTACTTTAAACATTAATTTAAAGAAATGTCCCTCTCCCTTCTCCAGGATCTAGTGACCACTTCCCGAATTCAGAGAAATCCCATGCTTCGCAAGTTTGCTTACATGGCATACAGTTCCCTGGTAAACAGATATTGTTCCATGTCTTCATCTTGCCCTAATGAAGTCCTTCAGGTAAGTAGTTTTAATTTCAGATATTAAAAAAAATAAGGATAACAATGCAGTAGGATCTGATCATTTTTCCTTAGTAAATGCTGACAAGATCCATGATAATAAAATTAATTTAAATAGTATATATTCCTTTTGTACACTCCCTTAGTAGCCAATTTTACCTTTATCTTTGGCATAACTCATTTATGTAAAGTAAGTTCTGAGAGAGTCATCACTGAGTAATGTTTACAGTTTCAGTTCCATTATAGTAATTTTTATAGGACTTTCTGTATGAAAATAAGAAAGTACTGAATTGTGCTTTGTTTTCAGCCCCTCCATGACCTCGCTGCTGAGGCACTCAGCAGGGGCCGTGAGGAAGATATGACTTTGGCTTTGAAAGCCATTGGCAATGCAGGAGCACCAGCCAGCATCAAGCGCATCCTCAAGTTCCTGCCTGTGTTTTCATCTAGTGCTTCTGATATCCCAGTCTATGTTCAGGTTGATGCTGTGATGGCCTTAAGGAAAATAGTCCGGAAGGACTTCAAACAAGTAAGTTTATGAAGGAGATTGAGAGCATGAATTTCTTGAGAGCAAGTAATTACTTCCTTCTATGATCAAGTGAACGATTTAGTGGATGCCAGTAAAATAATGAATGTGATATGCTTCTACTTTAACAACTTTTGACATTGTCTCCCATTACATTAGTAAGCTAAGGTTAATATGGTCTAGAGGGTGGCCAACGTGAGGCATGCATGCCACAAGTGGCACAGGCAGCCTCTATGTGTGGCATACAGGAGATTGGGCAGGGAGCAGTCAGCACAACTGCAAATATGGCCTGGAGCAGGAAGCAGAGCAACAAACAGATCAGCGAGTACAGGGCAGGGGGAAGATGGCAGAGGAGCAGATTGGACAGGAAAAGTGGATTGGAGTGGCACTTAGCGAGGGTGTGGGACTTGTAGCGTGCCTCCCAAAAAGGTTGACCCCCACTGTCTAGTTCAAAGTACTTATAGGGCAGATATATAATGAATAGGACCATCATTCTCAAAGAGTGGTTCTCAATGGCTTGATGTCTAGCTGGGGAAGATTTATAATGGGTAGGACTGTTATTCTCAAAGAGTAGTTTTCAGTGGCTTGACATTTATCTGGGAAGTGTCAAGTGGGGTTCCCCTGGAGTCTGTCCTGGGGCTAGTGTTTAATATCTTCCTTAATGACTTGGAGGATGGGTTTGAGTACACACTTAGTAAATTTGCAGATGATTGCAAGATGGGTAGAGTTGCAGAGACCTGGTAGAGTCGGATTAGGATTCAGAATAACCTTGATAAACTGGAGCAATCTAAATAGAATTAAATGATCTAATTGAATAAAATGTAATAAGAGCAAATTTAGAAGTATTGCACTTGGGATGGAACAGCCAAACATATATCAGAGACTGACTCATTAGGCTGCAGTACTGAAGAAAAAGACCTAGGGGTTATAGTGGACTGCAAGCTGAATATGAGTCAGCAGTGTGCTATTGTTGCAAAAAGCCTGTAGCGTACTGGATTTTACTAAAAGGATAGTGATCTGCAAGTTGAGGAAAGTGATTCTTCCACTCTTCAGCACTGGTGAGAGCAACAAAATGTGTAGCGGTCTAGGTAAAATGACTTAAAGGAAAGGTTGGAGAAATGGATTATTTAGTCTGGCGAAGAGAAGCTGAGAGGATTTGAGAACAGTCTTCAAATATTTGAAGGGTGGTTATAAAGAGAATGGAAATAGACTATGCTCTGTTGTCATGGGGGACAGGACACGAAGTAGTGATCTTAAAACTGCAACAAGGGGAATTTAGGCTGCATATTAGGAAGAGGAGCTTTCTTATGATAAGGGTGGCTAAACACTGGAACAGATTATCTGTTTTTAAGAGGACGTTAGACAAATACTCTGTTGAGATGATTTAGATTGTATAGACCAGTGGGGGCCAACTTTTTTGGCAGGAGTGCCAATCTTATCTCTTTCCCCTGCCTAAGCTGTTGCTTTGCTCTCTCCTCCCTGCCCATCACTTGCTCTGCTCTAGTCCCTGACCTATCTGCCACAGTTCTCTCTGTTCCTTTCTGGATCTGCCATGGGGCATGGCTATGCCTGCCACTTGGGCACACATGCCACTAGTTGGCCACCCCTGGTTTAGACAGATCTCTTCCAGCCTTTTTTTTTGCGATTCTCATTAGAATCAATGGATTTATTATAGATAAATAACATATTATCACTGGTCTGTTATTTGTTAAAGTGATCTGAATGATAGTGAATGGAGTGGATCAAGTTTACCAAGCCAAGGGAGTTACTCCCAAGATGAATATTTGTCTTATTACACATGGCTTTTTCCTAGGATCTGTAAATTGTGACCCAACACTTTTGTTTCATCTTTGTGCATCAGCTCCTGCAGTACAAAGAAATTATGCTTAACACTCTAGTTTCCTTTCATTATCAGTGCATGATTTTTCATATAAATAAACCAAAAACCTTGAAGGGAGAATATGTACCTTAGCTATTGATAGTCACACATGGAATCCTATTTTCTCTCTCCAGGGGCTAGACATTCTCATCCGGCTCTTTATGGACCGCTCACTTTCTCCTGAAGTACGAATGATGGCCTGTGTTACCATCTTTGAAGCTAGACCTGCTCTTCCTCTGATAACAACCATGGCTAATATGATGCTGAGCGAGACCAATTTGCAAGTGGCCAGCTTTTTATATTCGCACATGAAGGCTTTGTCAAAAAGCAGGACACCATATCTGTACAATATGTAAGTAGAGAAGTAAATCCATCTCTTTTCTGTGTGGAATGTTTTCTTTGACATTCTCAAGTGAGAATTGTATGAAATGAACCCCGGTGCAGTGGTGAAGGTTAGCATATTGCTGTATATTGTTCTCTCTCCCTTTCCTTTTTTTTTCAGATCGTCTGCTTGTAACATTGCCCTTAAGCTACTGAGCCCTAAACTTGACAGACTGAGTTATCGTTACAGCAAGGTTGTGTGTGCTAGTGCTTACTTCGGTGAGTAAAAGAACTTTAATTTATTGGGAGTTTCCATCATCAGAACACCATTTTCCAGTCTTTTGGAAAAATAATGTAAACCATTCTGAATTCCAGCTTAGACTATTTCCCAGAGGGTCCTTTCTTTCCAGAGTTATTAATTGTTTCTATAAGATAATCTGCAAAGTTATGCTTATTTCTTGTTTCTGAAGAACACATTGGTCTTTATAAATAATTTAACAAACTCCCTAATTTTCTGATATGTCTTTTGCTACAGTGAAGTGCACTTTTGAATATTCACGTTTGATCACATGGTAATTATGACATCCCTGCATTTGTTAGTATGAAATTGTCCCAAGTTCTGTGAAGACTTGTGCCTTTGAGTATCTCATTGAATTGAATGGGACACTCGCTTATATAAAAATACTTTAACAGTCGTTTTTACCTACATTCTATAAACCATAATGACGGTATCCTCTACAGCTTGACCAGTAGAACAATAAAATGATGTCTGTCTTGGTTTTGTTTACTATAGGTGAATATAGGGCTGGTGCCGTTGGAAATGTCTACCTTATGAACAGTCCAAAAACAATGTTTCCATCATCTATAATCTCCAATTTGGAGGTACACTATGATGGTGCAATTGCTGATTTGCTAGAGGTAAATATATTTAAGCCAATAAAAGAACAATTAAAGTTTATGGTGCTTGTTCTGTTTCTTCACTCGGTATGTTTTCACTGTATCACTCTACTTGCTTGTGAACAATGTTGTTCTTTTGTTAGGTTGGCGTCCGAGCGGAAGGTCTCATGGATATTGTAAGGAAAAAGAACATTCCATTTGCTGAATATTCCACGTACAAAAAGATAAAGGAACTTGGGAAGACAGTATGTGTTCTCATTCTTTATATTTATCTGTTGTCAATTATTATATTTTCCAAGTGCAGAAGGCGGCACCAGCCTCTTCCCAGTGTGGGAGCTGAGATGGGCTAGACAGAAAATTGGGATGCGGTTGTGCTAGACATTTTCTGGCCAAACATACTTATTCATTTTTTTAATAATACTCACTTAAGGCTCTGTGCCTCTGCAGGCTGTGGGCAGGAGCAGGGTGGGCTCAGCTGCACAGGGCAGGTGACAGTGGCCCAGGGAGGTGGTGTGGGGCTTGTACAGTGCAGTAGAGGGGTGGCTATCGGGGGCTATGGGGGGGGGGGGGG